CATTTGTTGACATCGTTTCCATGGCTGCTTTTGAGCTACAGTAGCAAAGTTAGGCAGTTGCCACAGAGACCGTGTGGTCTGCAGATCCTGAAGTTAAGTTTATTCAGCCCCCTGACCAAAAGAGTGTGTCAGTCCCTGCACTAGACTATTACGACGGACACTTTGCCCACGAAAGGGCTTTCTGTATTTTCTTTCTGCAGGCACAGCGGCCCATGGTCATGATGGTGACATATAACACAGGTAGAGGTGTGGCCTGTGTAGGTCTGTATTTTAGAGCCTCAACTTCCTCTTTCTGCCCTCCTTTTCAGTCTCCTGACTCTGCTGCCACCCATTACTTGAATGACCTCGGACAAGTCACTTTCCCTCTGTAACCTGAAGACCTTCACCAGTTTCTAAAAAAACGTGCCAAGTAAATAAATTGCAGAATCCCTTAGGGCTTTATTAAAATGTAGAGTCTTTATATGTATATTTTTTTCACATGCAGACTTCCAAGTAGACATTTCAAAATTTGAATGCAATTAAGACATCATGCCAACCGAAAGAAAAGCTTCTGTGATTCAGCAAAGGGAATATATTTTCCTTCCTAATGTAGGGAGCCATCACACAAGGCAGGGAATGGCTCGACTATGGGAATTTTCGGACTGCAAATGAAATCCTTCAGGTTAGAGAAATGGGATGGGCTGCCTCTCACCTGACATCTACAGCAAATAAATGGACAAATGAATATTTGGTTTACAGAGGAGAATCAGGGCAGTAACCAGACAATCTGTGCAACTGCCTTTTGCTTCATAATCGAACTGTGATTATTTTAGGGGTGTCTCATCTTGCTAATGGAGGTCTACCATCTTGATAGTGTAAATTGTCGGAAAGGGCTTTACGTTTCAGATAATGTCAAGCAAATACAAATTCACATATTGGAGAGCATGATTTCCTCATAGGTCATTGTCAGGAATTATGTTGTTGCATGTTTCATGTTTCATCAACGAGATGACGTTATTCTGGGTCATTATGACCACATCCAAGGTGTGATCAAGTTTTCCAGGGCAGTAAGTAAGTATGTAGTGAATGGAGTAGATGAGGGCACGGGCGAAATACCCAATATTACACTTGGATTTCTTGAGAAGAGGAGATGATTTTGAGCTCTTCCTGTGCACCTAGAGTAAGTGGAGAATTCACGTAACTACTTATTTTCAGCATACAGACATTCAGGTGCATCACTGAAGACATGTACTGCCTCCATCATCTTTACATACTGAGATTGTTTTCCTTGCCTTGAAGTGATGATTAGCTTGCAAACTAGTTTCCCTCTCGGAAAAGTCTGTAGCTCCTTTTTGTAGGTAACAGTTGGAGTCCTACCGCAGAGGAAGGGGGATTGCTCGGAGTCTCTTATTTCAAGCCAGAAAGAGCCTCCCCTTTGATTTTGTAGTTCACTTTACGGTCTTGTTAGGATTCACCCATTCTGGTTGACGGGGTTTAAAACTGGCACTGAAATACCATCTTACAAATTAAAGCCAACAGTTAGGAAATGTGTTTGTTATCCATTCATCTACTCATTTAGCGACAATTTCCCAAGTGCTTACTACCTGCTAGGCCCTCTTCTCAATGCCGGGAATACAGAAGGGAACAAAACAGATAAAAAAGATCCTCCCCTCATGGGCCTTTCATTATCCTGTGTGGAGGCAGACAGCAAATAAAGTGCGTAATAAGTCAGTTGGTAATATGGGCTGTGGGAGAACAAGAAAGCAGGAGGAGGTCACGGTGAAAGCTTTCTCAGTGGCGGGAGGAAAGAGCAGCTAGCTCTGTTGAACAGGGCGGCTTCTGGTAGACCCGCAGTGGGTGAGGAGCCCGCCGTGGGGAGACGTGGGGGAAGGCATATAGGCAAAGCCCGGGGGAAAGCCTCAGCCTCATGGTTGTCCTCTCTGAGAAATCACATGGGAGCCATGTGGCTAGAGCAGAGGGGCCTGGTGGGGCTGGGGAAGGATTTGGGAGCGAATGTGAGGCCAGGATGTTTGGGAGACTGCAACACTTTGCCTCTAACTGAGCCGGGAAGCCTGCAGCACAGTAGCAATGAGACGTCTGTGCGGTAAAGAATCACCCGAGTGTTGTGGTGAGGAGAGCTACAGGGAGGTGGTCTCAGCACGAGCGAGTGTTGATAGGAGGTCTCTGCAGTAACGGGGGAAAGATGGTGGTGCCTTGGTGCAGGCCGTCCACTCTGGATGTATTTTGAAGCCAGTGCTACCAGGTGTTGCTGAAGGGACGTGAGAGCACAAGAAGTGTGTGACCTCAGGGTTTTCAGCCTGGTTAGGCGGAAGGAAGGGGTTTCCATTTACTGAAATGGTGGCCCGTGTGGTGGGCTGACAACGATGATGATTTGAGTGTTGGACACATTATTTTTGAGTTGGCTCTGAGACCTCCACGTGGAGCTGACAGGAGAACCATCGAATATTGGACTCTCCGTTTGGGGCAAAATCTCTCTTGGAGACATAACATCTGAGAGTCAGCAGCACAAAGACTTTAGGTAAAGCTGGGACTGGACCAGATCCCTAGAAAGTGCGAGTGCACAAGAGA